GATTGATACAATTTTATTATCAATTACCTACATTTATCATATCATGCCATCATAACATCCATTAATTTAATCCCCATGTTCCTACCAACTACAAACTTAATAACCTGAAAATTTAGTTCTCACTTTTGCGGTACGTCCCGCGACGCACCCGTTTTTTAGAAGTTTTACATTCCAGGCTTGGTTACGGTCATTGTTATATAATTCCGGTAAAATTACGTTCGGCCTTGTTATTTTCTTTCGTATTACGTTCCGTAATCTAAAATTTCAATTCATTTTGTATTCTACACAAATTATTTCTAGTAATTTTACAGTCCGGAATTTAAATTTCAGAATTTAGTTTTCCTATTTTATTTTGTTCTTTAGTTTTAAGTTCCAAACAAATTACAGTCAAGATATATTAATTCCGTGGATTTTACGGTCCCTAATTTTGTTTTCAATACATTTATAATTCTTTCAATTTAATGGTACGGTTACATTACGTTCTGTTATATCATAATTCCGGTGACTTTATTTCCTGGATTTTATTGGCATCCCTGAATTTTGGTTTCCGGACGTTTTACGTTCATCGATATTTAATTCCAATTAATTTCCATTCCGTCCTATTATTTTCTCTCAAGATAACGTCCCGTAAACTTAGATTTCAATTCGGTTTGTGTTCTACGCATAATAATTTCCGTCAATTTTACGGTCCGGAATTTGAGTTCCCGAATTATTACTCTCCTGCCGTTATTTTTCCGGAATTTTATAGGCGTCCTTCTATCTTAGTCCGTGGTTACACGAGCCGAGTGCCGCACTCTCGGGAGCGTCACTTCACACGTCTTTACTACTCCAACAGCCCCGCACCCGCTTGAATTTTTGGCTTTTTCTTGGATTACACGGTAAGCAATTTTTCGAGCGCGGCCGATTGTCGGACGCGAAAGCTGGCGACGAAAACCGAATACCGATTTAATCGAAGTGTGGTCTGACCCCATCTGAGGTTATTTGAGACAGACCATAATATTATTACATACTACGCGATTTTGTAATCGTAAATATTGTATCATGTTATTATTGTTATTATTATTATTATTATTATTGTCATCGTCGACGTCGCGCGTCGCGACTCGTCAGTGTACACTATCTATGTCTCTATGTCTCTATTTGATATATTTATAGTTTATACTCTGCTCGATGACACATTGACACCGTTGATATCAACGTACGCTTTGCTATTATTGTTTTTATGGTTATTTTTAAAAATAATGTTAGTTTTGTAATTTGTATTGGTGTTTAGTAAGCAAGTTACTACGTGACAATAAATCATAAATTGCGAGTGTATAGCCACTATAATATATAATAGGTTGGAATAACCAGATATTAAGTACAATAGGGTCAAAATAGGCGGTTGTCATATTTGACAGGAATACTGGACGCATACGATGAAATTAAAATATTGAAGAGTAAAATGACTAATCATAAATTAGTAATACATTCAATCGTAAATGCGTGGGCTAGAATGATGACCACACAAATCACATTCGTGAGAACGAAGATACCGTATCTGTAGGCGAGGGGCACGGGGAACTTCATATATAAGGGAGCCCAAATAGGCCTGTTTTCAGACGTGTACTACCACCCATTAGTGCAAGCACCTTCACGCCACTCTGTACAACAATATTTTGAACTTAGTAAAATTATCGAGTGTTATAATAAAATTCACAATATACAACAACTGTTTTATTATTCATTCATCAACCACGACTTTATTATCTGAAGAAGTGTCTGCGACCTGCAACATTAACTACTGGTAGCCACTTATCTACTATTACCACTACAATAGTAGGTACCTAGATACCGCATACGTTACAGGTGGGCGGTGGCGCATTGATCGCACCCTGGGCTATACAAGGATCAGTATTTAAGTGAAGCGATCTTACTGCGGCAACTTTCAAATACTGATATTGAATGGTGAGTCGGCGGTCGACAAACATATTAAATTTTAGGTCTATTCTGCAGTATTTATCTATAATATACAATTAATAAACAGTATGAAAAAATGTATACAAAGTCTGTAAGTGTATTAAAATACAACGATAATGAATTTTATGCACTGTACTTTGTGTACTACCAGTAGAGACCCGGCCAAGAGCAATAATATTTCCGACTTTCCGTGCCAACAGCCGTCGGGCACCGGGTGCCTATGACGGTCGACGGATGAACACTTGAAGACGTCCTCAACGTCAAGGGCCAGTGGCGTGTCCAGGGTGGCCAACAGCCTCATCCAAAATATTTTAAATACAATTTATTTTTAAAACTAATTTTGCTGTTATGGGTTTTTTTTGTAATGTTATATGACGTAACTAATCAGCCTCTCTTGCCTTAGAAAAAAATACTGGATACGCCACTGTCACTGGCCATTACGACATCGACGACATATTGTACTTGAACAAAATGTGCTATGAACACTGAACAGCACTGCAGAGACAACATCGACGCCACGCTAGTACGACTACGACATCTGATTATTATAAATATCTATTTTCATTTTTACGCAAACGGACAAAAAGTATTGTCTGCATAATTATTTGGATTTTTACATAATATTACAATTTCCATATATCATACACGTTGATTTTTTGTTTACGTCTTTCGCTACTCATTAATTTCGTTTATTGTATTGTACATATTTTGTACTATTTAAACCTATCTGGATATCTACTTCATGCAAATTTGAGCGAACGATTCCTAACATAAACTATAATATATTGTAGGTTTATTTTTACTCGTGATTGACGCAGTGGCGGATACGAGGGTGGCGAAGGGGCGTTCGCCCCCCCCCTGGGCTGTCTTTTTAACATTATTTTATATTATAATATTTGGCTAAACAAAAAGACAATTTAATTTTTTTAATTCGCCCCCCCCCCCAATGGGCGACCTCTGGATCCGCTACTGGAATGACGTTTTAACGTCATCAAATTGTACAGAAGTGTAGTATATTATAGGTAGATTTATAAAAAAATTATACAATATTATGCAAAATGAGAATTGTTTATTTTATTTTTATATTATATACCTACCAGGGGTAATCAAACCGCGGCTCGCGTCTTATCGTAACACAAAACATTTTTATTACTATAAATGATAAATATAATATAATAATAGGTATTATCACGGCCTTAGACTAGTATGGGTATTACTGGGTATTATAATATACTATCAAACAACGCGGCGGGCAAACGAAAACAATTAAAATGTTCTATTTCAATTATTATAATTAGTGTACTATTAGGTAATGAAAATAATATAACGGTTTTTATGTTTTTAAGAGAGTTATTGTAGAGACGTAGAGTTACAAGTCCCAGCATTGATTATGAATACTATGGATTGCTCACTGGTCAGTGGCCACTGCGGTAAAAAATACGCTACGCTAAATCTACTAGCGATCCTCGTGTAAAGTTATTTTTTAATGTTTAAATCGGATTATTCTTATTAATTTCTATTAATATATTTGTATTTATAAACAAAGTATTATTTTGTATTATCCACACATTGTATCACCAGCTAAATAAAAAATAGGGGCCGACTTTGATTACTGATTAGCATTCGGCTGTAGTGGTTAACTGGAGTGACACAGAAATATATCACCGTTATCTCCATATCCGGACGTCATACAACTAATTTTACGATTTCTGCAACGCCGATAAGACAGTCTGACAGTGACACACTGACACTATAACGTATAACATCGTGTCATCGCAGTGGCCTATATACGAATTATTTTCACTATGGGCCAATTTATCAGTTATCACTAGTCAAGAATAGCACAACTAACATAGCCATAACTATACATTTTTTAGGGAGCTGGGTGGTTATAATTATGACATAAACAGTACAAATAAAAATTACGCAATTTAATTATTATGTAAAATTAATTTTTTGATTCTTTTTTAAAAAATATTGATAGTGTCATTTATATATTTTAATTTTTAATGTTATCTTACTATGAATTTAACATCAAAGTCAATTATAAGTTATCAAAGCAAGTCCTGACCATCTAACATTTCCTTGTTGATTCCTCAAAAACGATTTTAATCAACCGGCTAACTTAATCATGGTGAAAAACTGTAAACAGTGCAGATATACATGCAATGCTTTAATTGAACCTGCAATTTCACTATGGGCCCTAGCCTAGGTTGCCTCCCCCCTATATACGCCACTGTGTCATCGTATAACTTTAATATTGTAATTGTCGAACTATCATAGTTTTTACTAGTAGTTCTAAAAATAATAATAAAAAAAAAACATCGTATAACACGGTAAATATTTTAAAAATAATTATATACCTACAGTTTTAGTCATTAATCGTCCGTAGATTATCAGTGCCGACGGTCGCTAGTGGGCACTGATGACGACGCGACGTCGACAACGATAACATAATAATAACAATCAGCAATAATAAGTTTTAATAAAATCACGTATAATCTTATTATAGTACTACAATATTATCCATCCAAATATCAATGTTGTTATTTGTACAGCTGGCGTACAAATACAGAAGAAATTACATACGTACTAACTATATTTTACATCTATCGATTAGTGAAAATGTGAAATTGTCAAACCCTCCAAACACAATATAAATATTGGCTATAATAATAATAATACAACTCTGTCCCAAAAAATAATAATCGGTCAACCGACAAGTGACAACAGCCGATGGCCGATTTACGTCAGTGCAGCACATCTCCCACCGGCCGTGTTTGCTTGATCACGTGGTTCTCGACGCGCCAATCGCATCATTCGCGGCGCGCAAAAAGTGTGATCGTTCCCTTTTGTAACGGAGTGTCGGAGGCACAGTCCATAGTCGTCTTCCATAAATATAATTTTGTATTTTCATCAATAATATTATTAATTGAAATCGTACCATCGTAGCGTTTTCTTTTTATCGTTAGCTTACCACACCAACAGCAGACGCTTCAACATCATAATATTCCGTTCGTCCACCGCTATTCTGCCCGACAATGATGTACTGTAATCGAGACTATGATGTTCTATTCAATAGAGGTGGCACAAGTAGTACGTACACGTCCGGCAAGTCAAAGTTTACCGAGCACGCTGCGGACCTTATTTTAAAACGTGCCTCGTCGTTCGTGCTCTACCACATGTATGACACTCACCGCCCGCAATGCCCGCTGCTTAACAATGTGAACGCCAAGGGTTACAATACAATTGAGCGGATCGTGAAAGAAACATTTCCCCTGGTGAGTACATGGACGATTCATCAGTGACTGTAAATCGCCGTGTCCAATGTAAATCCGGCTAGTGCGTGCGATTTCTATGCTGACCAGCATCTTCCAACATTGCGTCCGATGCGGCGAAATAATATACGTCAAGCTGTTTTGTTCTTCGACGAATCGGACGCATTTACTTTGGGCACGGCGTAGTACACAATATTAATTGTACATTGGCCACGTAGTTTTTACCAATTAGTTATTACTTATTAGTTATTAGTATTATTTATTAAACAGTTGAACAATATAACACTATTTAATATACTTACAGTCGTACCTCAGGATAAAGATAAACACGTATTCTATGCTCGTACTATAATATAGGTACCTATTACCGATGGACAGACCCACCCATTAGCACCACACTTGTTTTTCCGTCGTTTCTCAGGTATCAAAATAGGTACTGAGTTTGACAGTGATGATCCATTGTCACGCTGACACTATCGTAAAATAACTGTGTAGATTATGTTCGATAATTATTGAAGTTGACTAGCTGCTGTTGCATGATCAAGTGTTGGTGTTTTTATTACCCCAGGTGTACTCACTACTCAGTAGTCAGTGGGGGATTTAGCATCAGGTAAAATAGGCAGCCACCTAGGACGTCACATTTTTGGGACAAGTATTTATTTTTTTGGATTTAATTGTACCATTATTTATGAACAATTATTTCATTTATTTAAATATAAAAAGTAAAAATATTAAAACTTGATTAAAACCTAATTTTAAGCCACAAGTCACAACCATTACAATACCTTTAATAGGTATCCAATGGCGGCCGCAGGGGGGATTTGCCCCTCGGCTTCTTTTAGGTTAATTACCATGATCATTTGGGATTTTAAATTCAGGGTTGGCACGAAAAAGCCCAGCCCGGAAAAACCCGGGCTGCTTTTCTGGGTTAAACCCACTCATTAGTTTGAAAAAAAAAACCATAAAAGATGGGCTGATTTTCTGGATAAAATAGGAATTAAAATTATTTTTTTTTTAATTATGTTAATTTTCAGAAAAATTTACTTTACTTTTAAATATTATTTATTTTTCCAATTAAGTATTAAACTACGGCGTGCATCCATTGGATGACTACCCCCTCCCGTCAATCAAAACACATCCCATTTACTTATTGTATAACTTGTAAATACGGATTGTCAATGTACATTTTTCTTCAATAAAAAAAAAAAGAATTTAACTGATTTGTAAAATATTTAATAATAATTTTTTTAACTTACTATTTTTTGTACCTAGGTACAATTTAAAATAAAAATTAAAAAAATTACACACCAACGGCCAATAGAAATGTTAACAATATTTTATTTTTAATAAGGTATTAAAATATTAAATACATAACTTCCCTGTAAATACTTAATGAATAATCTAAACAAAAATTAACAATTAACAAAATAACAAATATTTGTTAGTAAAATAATAGGTAAAGGAAAAATCAAAAAACAGTGCAGCTAATACATGAAAAAAAATTCCAATTTTTTGGATTTGATCAGTGCCGTAAAAACCGGGTGTGCAAAGTGTGCACCGCTCACAGGCCTCGGGCCTCGTAATATATCGAAGGACCTCAAAAGATCTAAAGACTAATATTAAACAAATTATTAAAATATATAAATTATTTATTATTGATTTGGAAACGAAACCAATGTTATTTCATTTTTTTTATATAGCATGGAGTTGTGATCACTGTTTTTAGATTTTGAGAGGAACGAACAAATGTATTGATTTTACAAGATGTGTATAATTTTTTTCATTTCTGTCGGTCATCAACATTGGGTAGTAAAAATATTCCGAATTTCGAGATCAGCATATTTTCTGTTAAAAAAGTGAATTTAGTTGTTACTTTTTGGAGATCGAAACCGAAATTTTTAGTTTTAGCTATTAAAAAGCGTCAGTAAAAAAAAAAATTGTCATTTTGACCTAAAACAAAAATTTTATTTTTTGGTATAACCCGAAAACTAATAAGTAATAACAGTAGACCATTGAAGTTTTCACCAAATATTTATATTAATGTTTTCAATAAATTACATTTTGGAAAATTTTTACTTTTTTGAGTTAGTTTTAGCCTTGAGAAATTGTTTTAAAATTATAGATTATTTTAAATTAAAATATTTTTTTTGTTTAAGCCCGAATTTTTGCCTGCTGACCTTAAAAATTGCAAAAAAAGTTTTTGAGGTGTGTATTGAAAAAGATAATAAGGGGCCTCAATATTTTGGTTTTGCACACAGGCCTCAAGTAGCCTACTTACGGCACTGGATTTGATAAAAAATATATAAGATCGAAAAATACTCGTCGCTATAAATTGAATTAGTAATCTCATCCAAAAAACAACGCTTGTGCGTAACCAGATGAGCTAATTCCTGCTTCACATCACACACTCAAATAAAATAAAATATTATCTAAATCATAATACTACACCTAAGATTTTGACTAGGTATAGGTATACTAACATTTTATATTTATAACGAATTATCATCTACGTTAAATAGTATATTTTCTACCTCTACACTCTACAGCCTATAGTAGTTATTAAACTCGACAAAATTTGATTGATTACCTAGTAAATATTATTATATTTGTGTAACACCTGTATGCCTATAAGTTGTCGATTAATATTGCAGTGCAACATCAACAAGATACACCAAGTCCACGCCCCACAGATGTACGGCATGTATATGTTGCGCAAAGAAGAAATGAATTTGACCTTTGGCCAAAGTGTCCAGGAGAAGTTGCTGTTCCACGTGACCACCGAATCCAGAGCCTTGGAGTCGTTGGACAGCGGACTCGACTGGAGACGCACCCGCCGCTCCAAGTTCGGGTGCGGCGTATCATTCAGTGACGACATCGACTACGCTAACTATTATGCTGACAATTCCTCCGCTGAAGGTATATAATAATAAAATTGTTTATTTATTTTTTAATGTTTGTTTGTCGATTAAATAATACGCATATCATACCCACTAAAATATCGTTATAAAAATATTATGTTTACTGAATCTGCTCAGGATTTCTACGCAAGTTCCCTCTAAAATGTTTTGTTACCGTTCGACGTTCACTATAAATACTTAAATAACTTTTTTTTGATACATATATTTTTCATGTAGAGGTTATCAGCGAACCATATTAGGTGTAGCCTTTTATTTAAAAGTGAATTTACCTAATCATGTAAAATATTACAGTTTGAAAATTTAAAAAATTAAGCGTTGGTCGTTATCTTTTAAAGAATCTGCTCCTTTTAGATTCTTAGCAGAGCGAAAGAATGTATTGATATTACAATAATGTGTGTGTGTTTTTTTTTCATCGACATTTGGCTAGGTAGTAAAAACATTCCGATTTTCGAGATCAGCATCTTTTCTTATAGAAAAGTGAATCTAATTGGTACTTTTGAGAGGTCAAGAATTAAATTCCAAGTAGTTTTAGAAAGCGTCAACAGCAACTGTATGAATGTATATTGCTTGTTCTACCTTGAACAACAAAATCAACAAAAAGTATTAATTGTTTACGAGCGTTTTTATTATTATCCATCAGAAATCTATTATACCTAGTTGATAGTTCGTACGAAATTGTAATTGTTTTATTTAAAAATATATCATGACTGCAAATCAAACAAGTGACGACAGTGGTTCAAAGATGAAAATAGTTGGCCAATTTTGAATTTGAAAATACTCAAATAAAGATAACAAAACTGTTTTGTATACTATCCAAGGCGTATAAATATTATGTAAAGCTTATTGCAAAATATTATTGGGTATACTCATAAAATAATATAAAAGTAGACAAAATATAGTTTTTTTTCCTAAAACTATGATATTTTGTCAATAATCGTCATAATATAGTCTACAATGAATAAAATGAAATGAAATTGAAGTGTTCATCAATTTATCTATGTTAGATAAGTTACAAAGATAGTATCTCATGACCAGTAGCGTAGCGTGGGTTTTAAGAAACTGCAGTAAGCAGAAAATTTTTTTTAAAGTAATTAAAAATTCAATGTGAGAACGACTTATTTCATGACGATGCTCTAAATTATGAACATCTTTCAAATCTTTTTCAATCTTTTTTCAACCAAACATTGGAATCATGTGAAAATAAAAGACAACTCCAACCGTATAATTTTTGAGTATTTTGACAACCAGATAGCCATTTATTTGAATCGTAATATGAATAGTTAAATACCGGACATTTTTTTTAGATTTTGTTTTTAAATCTAAAAGTTTTGAAGTTAGTCTACCATTATTTATAATATTCTGTTGTTCAACAAAAGTATACGATCCAGCCAATATACATTCATACAGTTGCTGTTGACGCTTTGGATCATCCAAACGATTTTACTAATAATTATTCAATAATGCATTTACAATAGTTATTACTTATTACTATTTAAATTCACACCTGAAGAACACGAAAGCAGATCCATTTCCATTGTAAAATAATTAAATAAGTGTATACAATTATAGATCTATATAATATATTCTATAACATATTAACATAGTAACACGAAAATAATAATAATGTACTTTGTATATACTCGTATGAATCCAAACGATTATCGTCGATTATCGCCTTATCTTAAATAAAAATAATAATAAACCGATTGGTACTGTAGTGTATGCAAAATCATAAGTGCTTACAAATAGTATATAAATACGAGGCCCACTCTACGACATTGTACATTAGCTCACGTAAGCAGTTTCAGAACAATGTTACACGACGGCACAACGCGTCAATACTCAATACCAAGTGTTAATAGAACAAAAATAGATTTTCCACTATTTCCACCATCATACGCAACGGACGACGACGATGACCAAAATATTGCCTGGTCGTCAAAATTGTTATCTAATATTCTAAACTTATTATTATTTCTTATTTTTATTATTGTTGAAACTTAAGAAAAAATTAGTCTTAAAAAGTTTTAATATTAATTGTAATTTGTTATTATTCTTAACAGCTTAGCGGCCCATGTAATGATATAATAATGACTAATATTAATATTAACTTATTTTTCCTTTTTTTCAAGTGTAAGCAGTGCTTACAGTGCTTACATGCACTCTACGTCATAACTCATAAGTCATGAGTCGCATGACCCAATTATGAAGTTACACTATTGTTATTTGTTATTAACCCGCATGTGGTCATTGAAATGTACAATAAGATAATAAACCTATTAGCTTATATAAACATACAAATTTAACTATTTTTTCATCGAATTACACAACCATATTTACACTACCAGTTAAATCACAATCTACTGATTAAAAAAGTATCATCATTGCTTGCTCATAGTCAAAAATTTTAAGTTTACATTAATGCCTTATGAAATGATTTTATATTCACAAAAATAAATAAATTTATGTACCGATAATACAAAACATTAAATCACACAATTTTTTACAACATTTGTGTTCCTAAAATCATTTTTAGATTCTGAGTGAAACGATGAATGTATTGATTTTACAATGATGTGTGTTTTTTTTTTATTTTTTTTTTTATTTTTGTGTCTGTCATCACGATTTAGGACACTAAAAGTGCTTGGATTTTCTTCATCAGTAGCTTTTCTGATAGGAAAAAGAATCTAGTTGGTACTTTGGGGGGTCAAAAGTATAAATTTCCCAGTAGTTTTCACAAGCGCCGGGAAAAAACAACATAAAAATTAAGGAAAAACGGGAATTTTTACGCAAAATTGGTTTTCCAAAAAATCGATTTTGGTTATTGGTGTAACTCTAAAACAAATGAACGTATATACATGAAATTTTCACTGGTTGTTTATAATTGCATTTTCTATACACGATAACATTTTCAAAATATTTTGATTTATTTTGAACTGTTTAGGGACATTTTCATTTTCCATTTTTTTTTAGTTTTTTTTCTAAAAATATCAATAAAATTTTATTTGTTGGTTGCGAAAGCTTGAAAATTTAATAGAAGGCTCCTAATATGTTGTTTCAAAGGCAGATAAAAAATATTAAAAATCCTTAGTCACAATTTTTTTTTATAAGCATTTAAAGTTCAAAAATTGACAAAATATGGAAAAATCACGAAAATTAGCAAATTATTTTGAGTTAAGAATTCGTAAAAATTTTTCTTTTTAAATCTAAGATTTGAAAATGAAACACAAGATTCCTTATAAGATTATCTACCTTTATCAATAAAAAAATCTCTACCGGACAGTCAAGTTAAATTTTTATGAGCGTTTGAAATTCAAATTTTTACAACATTGGATATTCACTCGATTACTCATGTAGCGATTCCTTTATTTTGTTGCAATTCAAAAACGAACAACTGTAGATACATGAAAATTTCACTGAATGTTTAAATTAGCATTTTCTATACACCATACAATTTTGAAAATATTTTGACTCTTTTTGAGCTGTTTATGGACATTTACAGCTTTCAATTTTTTTATTTTTTTTTTTCTATAAATATCAATAAAGTTTTATCTGTTGGGCCAAAAAGTGTAAAAAGTTAATACAAGGCTCCTGATATATTGTTACAATATCAGTTGAAAAATATTAAAAATACATAGGCACGATTATTTTTTATAAGCATTTAAAGTTGGAATTTTGACAAAATTTATCAAAATCTCGAAAATTATCAATCGTTGGAATTAAAAAATTATAAAATGTTCAGTTTTTATAACTAAGAGTTGAAAATTTAAAACAAAGATTCTCTTAAATAATTCATACTGTAACCAAAAAATCTAAAAAATATATAAATATATATATATAATAATATATATTTTTTTTTACAGACATTTTAATTTCAAATTTAGACAAAATTTCATATTTAAACCAAGAATTACGATTTTAGTTATTTTGTTGTGATTGAAGAATATTATTCGTGGGTACTTGAAACTTCTAAAGTGTACCTACTTTTATATATCTATGATAGTATCATAGGCGCAAATAGGGGGGGCTTAGGGGGTATTAGCACCCCCAATTTTAAAATTAGCACCATCTAATAAATATGTGTTTATGTATCAAAACTTCTCCTTACAAAAAAAAAAAACCAAAAACAGTTTATCATCAGACATGAGGCCATGAGGGTATCAGAGTATAATGAATGAAACAATGAACTCGACAATTGTCATTTTATCGAATTCAAATCTATTTAGAATATAAATCATTATTTTCCAATGTTTCTACTAAGCCCGGTCGTTGTGGTCGGTTATATTATTATCAGTGTTATCACGTTCTGACGTTCAGTAGCGACTCAGCTCTACGACAATTTATAGTACCTATCGCGAGTATTTACTAATAGAAACATTCCCGTGACCACATCTAATTCGGACAAAAACCTAATTACGATATACGAATTACTTGTCAGTTAGTGTTCACTGGAGTTCCAAGTTTCCGACAGCCTGTGTGATTGTGTATGCCGAATGATATAATATAGTACAGATATAACTGACTTTTGGAATAACTTTTGTTCTAATCAATATTTATAATGTTTTTTTATAATTTTAACAATTTTTGTTACACGTTTAAGTAGCTTCATTTTTTTTTCTGTCAAGTCTGTCTGTTCCACGCTTTGTACACTAATATTTATTTGTCATATTTTTTGAATAAAATATAAATAATTTGTTTTAAATTGTTGATAAATTAAAATTTACTATTGTATTAATTTTTATAAAATGTACCTAATGCACTATAACTATTCAATGTTAAATTGTCATAAAACCATTTTTTCTCAAAAAAGTCATAAGTACCTCATAGGTATAATTTAATTTAAATACCCAGGAAATGCAGAGCTTAAGCACCCTCAGTTTTTATGTTGAAATTGCGCCTATGGATAGTATCACGGTTTTTGTTGATGTATAACGCGTTATAAGTATCTAATGGATATTGTGATATGATTAGTTTGGAATTTATTATAGGTACCTATTATAGGTCAATTTTTTGTTTAATACCATAGATATGTATATAATATGTCTTATACATAGACTGACATACCGTCACCGCTCAGAATCGTTTTTCTTATACAATGATATTATATCATTGAATTCAAATTTAATATCATCCATTATACAGTGACCCACTTGTAACCTACTGTACAGCAGAGCGACACCCACTTGCCCACCTTTTTAAAGTTGAATTAGAACATACATGGTAGTTTAGTAAAATAAAAAAAAAATTATATTAAAATCTTAATTTATTGATAAATTGTTAGGTATTACTATACAATATTATAGATACATATTATATAATTATATTTTATATTACACGCTTTAAATTTATTATTTACACTAGTCTTAGTTTTGTTTAGTTTGGTCTTTAGTTTTCTTATACGACATAATATTGTATAATATCGTGTAGTGGCGTAACTGGATAAAAGTCTAGGGGGGCAATAAAATTAACCTCCCGTTCGGCCGTTCCAGTAATCATAATCGCGTTTCAAGAATATAAAAATAAACTTTTATAAAGTAATTTGAGGAAAAAATATTTTAATATTATAATATTATGTTAACAGTCTTAAGTCTTGTTAAGAATACTTTTTAAATGTGGATTATTTTACAAACATTTCTGGGGGGCAAGTGCCCCCCTTGCCCCCCGAAATTACGCCACTGATATCATGTATCAATTGATGAATAAATGTATAGATAAATAATAACATTTTTTTTTTTTTTTTTTTTTTTTTTGATTTTACTAAATTATGTCTTGATATGACTTCAAATAATGTTATTAGTCGTTAAACAATAAAGTTTAGAAAAAAATAGTCTTATTAAAATATGCTTTGAACTATCGGCACAATAAGTAAATATTTTTGCTAGCACAAAAAAAAAAAACACAAAACGATTTCACACGCACAACAGTCATGCATTAATGCGCCCACGGTATTGACTTTCTTCACGGTTTTTATTATAATGTGAGCGTTTCTTTTCTTTTTCTCGACCGCAGACACACGGGTGATCATGATATGCTGCGTGATGGTCGGCAATACTTACGTGATCCCGAAGCAGAAGTTTGCAAGAAACCAGATATCTGCAGGGAGCTTGTTGGTCGTACCGCCCGGCCTTGCGGACACGACGGTCAGCCACAACGGCCACGTGCACGTCAAGTACAACGACTATGAATTTTATCCACTGTACTTGGTGTACTACCAGCGAAGATGCGAACAAATGACCAAGAGCAAATATTTCTTTGCCAATCGCCGCCCGCAACCGGACCAGCAGTTGGTGAGCTTACTGGGGGCTATGAGTATCTCCAACTATAGACTGTAGGTCGTTGATGTATTATTAAGATTTCTGATCGTTCTATACTATACTATAATGAAAATGTTATAAATATAATAATTGTTTTCCGGACAAAAAGATATTGTCATAATAATATAATGACCTATATTTGCACACACTAATAATATACTAGGTATTCAATGTTCCTAAAGCACATTGGTTTGTTTTGCCATAATTTATTACCATGGTCCCAACATGGTACACGCATTTTTGGGCAAACCATTTTTTTCTACGTATTTCGCTGCTGAGGTGGCTTGTTTTTTTTTTGTTTACATTTTTATTGACGCTGGTCGATATTCATTCGCGTAGTCACAATTATTATAATGCACGTTGTTAATAAAATATATAGATTTTCAGGAGAACGATCCCTACCAATACTTAACTATTTATATTTACGTGTTGTTGACATTTTCAAGTTAAGTTATACGTATACGTTAAATGAGAATTTTTCATTTTTTTATGTAATTATGTTAATATATTGATGTACTTATTTTTGCGAATAAATAGAAAAGAAAAATTTAATTTGAATTTTTTGTGTAGTTTGTATTTTTTTATAATTTATTAAACACTTTTAGATATTCTGATGATGTTTATGACCCAAAAAAACAATATAAGCACAGTATAAGCTTTATGAGAAGGCCACGCAATATTTGGTTCGTTTATGTAATGTTCTCTGAAATTTATGATAAGTGGACCCCCCCCCTAAAAAAAAAAATATTTTTTTATAATTATTTATTTATATAACCTTTTAGTTTATAATATTATTGTGATATTATATTATGCAAGAGGACCACAAAAAAGTTATTATCCTTAAGCATAATTTTTAACATAATTTTATTATTAAGTTTATATAATATATTTTATATATTATGTGATTTTGTGAACTAAAAGACGTGCACTATAGCTAAAAACCAACAAAAAAAGAAGTCGTTTTTCTATTTAGTTTTTGTTTTTAATGGTCAACCGTTTGAGAAACAATTAATTAATTAAAAGTGTTCCGGGGCTGATCTAGCTACCTAGACGGGATTATCTAGACATACACTCTCTAGCTTAGTTTTGAAATTCACTCAGAAATACACCATAAACTCACCACCTTAAACTCAAAAACAAGTAAAATGTATATGGAAATGGCGCACAAACACGTATACCCAAAAAGGTAAAACGTGTGCAATCGCCAATCGAAGGTACTCCACTGGACAACAGAAAGTCCCAATAGGTCAGACCCCGGACTACCCGGAACCTCCTGGTACCCTGGTGGGCCTGGTTAAAGGTATGTACTGTAGTTTTTCGTTACTGTTATATTTTATTAACCGTTTATTTTATTGACCTCGGTTATGCCATGTGACAGAACTAAATTAATTAAGTGTCTACATGCTAATATAACACTGTATTTACCTAAACATACATTTTTTATATTAGTAATCCAGATATAATACTTTATTTCTCTATACATTTTATCACACAATTTAAATTAATAAATACCTAGCATATATAAATATAAATATTATAAAATACAATATATTATTATAATGAACTAAATAACCATATTATGGGCCTACTGTCCATGTAGGTATTTTGATCTATTAATTATTGTAACTAGAATTTAATATTTAATAAAGAACTGATACAAATTATGGGTTCTGAATGTTTCATAATATATTTATCAAATATAAAGTATAACATAGGTAGGTATCATCAAAAAAATTCCTAGTAAATTTTAAGAAAATGTATTTACAAATAGTAATTATAAAAGATAAAACTAAAATTGTATATCCAGATATCTACTACCTATAGATTATTAGATAAAAAAAACTAAGAATCTTTGAAGAATCAAATTTTGACAATATTGTCATCAAAACTTTAATTTCTGCAAGGTATAATTTGACTATTGTAAAAACAATTAAAAATTAAATATAAATATTACCATCAGAATCTCTAACTGATCCACTAAATATGGAATTGTTGCAACACATATATCTTGATAAATCTCCATTATCGAATTTGACAGCTAACTCATGCAACGATTGAGGCAGAGCTGGTAGGGAAGATCTCCTAACAGAGCGCATTATACTTTCTGCAGTTGACCAGGGATAAAGACCAGCAGCAACTCTGTGTCTAAAATACATTAATATATATTAGCATGATCAAGTAGGATACTAAAAAATGTATAGTATATGGTACAAGATATAATTATTAATAAAAGAACAATATTTTTTAATGATATTATTCAATACATGTACTAGTGTACCATATATGAGTTACCTTTGTGCTTCATCATCATAAATTAGTTTCAATGAGATGTTTTCATTTTTAGATCGTTCCTTCAGTGCATCTCTAAATAAAACAATTAGATTTGATTCATCGTCTCTATTTGCAATGTGTGCTCTTGAATGTGGTTTTAATTCAGAAAATGTACCATCAAGGTTTTTCCTAGCAGTTCCATCACAAAAGAACTCCGTAGATTTCGCACATTTATAGTAACTAAAAATATTAAAGTCATTAATATAAAACATGGTGAATGATTAGGGATGAATGCAGTTTAGCTCAAGAGATTTTTGTGATTTTTTTGTTTGAAAATGTGTGGTTTTGCATGTATGTTTATGATGGAGCTTTCAAAAAAATTCAAATCTCCTTTGGAAATGACGGTAAACAAGTCTTCATAACTCTCAAGTCGTGTTTGCAAGTTTGAAGTGCCTACCAAAAAAATTACATTTTTGAATTTTTTTTCGTAAATTTGTATTTTTTTACCTCAACAAAAATGGTGGAATCAGAAGTTTTTATGTTATTGTTAATAAAATAATTTCAAAACAAATGAAAGATCTGAAGGGTTGACGAATGGGAATATTGTGAAATTAAATAATGATTATAAATGATTAGGTAGGTATATTTATAAATTATAATAATATTATAGTGTTAAAATAGGTTTCGGAACTTCTTGCATTTGCATGTTTTTTGTTGTCGTCGTAGTCAGTAAATTATTCTAGGTAAATTATAAATTTGTTTTATGAAATGGCAAAATTAAATATAAAGTTTGAATTTGAATATTTTTGCATATATCGTTATATTTTAGGAAAAGCCCTGCATGTTTGAACAATTTCTAACATATTTGTGCACTGCTTGCATTTTTTAGATTCTGAGTGAAACGATGAATGTATTGATTTTACAATGATGTGTGTTTTTTTATTTTTTATTTTTTTATTTTTTTATTTTTTTATTTTTTTTGTATCTGTGTACACGATAAGTAGTCGAAATAATGCTTCGATTTTCGACTTCAGTATCTTGTTCGATTGGAAAGTGAATATCGTTGGTGCATTGGGGAGGTCAAAATTTAAATTTCCCAGTAGTTTTCACAAGCGCCGGGAAAAACAACATAAAAATTAAGGAAAAACGGGAATTTTTACGCAAAATTGATTTTCCAAAAAATCGATTTTGGTTATTGGTGTAACTCTAAAACAAATGAACGTATATACATGCAATTTTCACTGGTTGTTTATATTTGCATTTTCTATACACGATAACATTTTCAAAATATTTTGATTTATTTTGAACTGTTTAGGGACATTTTCATTTTCCATTTTTTTTTAGTTTTTTTTCTAAAAATTTCAATAAAATTTTATTTGTTGGTTGCGAAAGCTTGAAAATTTAATAGAAGGCTCCTAATATGTTGTTTCAAAGGCAGATGAAAAATATTAAAAATCCTTAGTCACAATTTTTTTTTATAAGCATTTAAAGTTCAAAAATTGACAAAATATGGAAAAATCACGAAAATTAGCAAATTATTTTGAGTTAAGAATTCGTAAAAATTTTTCTTTTTAAATCTAAGATTTGAAAATGAAACACAAGATTCCTTATAAGATTATCTACCTTTATCAATAAAAAAATCTCTACCGGACAGTCAAGTTAAATTTTTATGAGCGTTTGAAATTCAAATTTTTACAACATTGGATATTCACTCGATTACTCATGTAGCGATTCCTTTATTTTGTTGCAATTCAAAAACGAACAACTGTAGATACATGAAAATTTCACTGAATGTTTAAATTAGCATTTTCTATACACCATACAATTTTGAAAATATTTTGACTCTTTTTGAGCTGTTTATGGACATTTACAGCTTTCAATTTTTTTATTTTTTTTTCTATAAATATCAATAAAGTTTTATCTGTTGGGCCAAAAAGTGTAAAAAGTTAATACAAGGCTCCTGATATATTGTTACAATATCAGTTGAAAAATATTAAAAATACATAGGCACGATTATTTTTTATAAGCATTTTAACATCGAATTTTGATAGAATTTTTCAAAATCTCGAAAATTATTAATCATCGTAATTAATAAATTATAAAATGTTAAGTTTTTATAGCTAAGGATTGAAAATTTAAAACAAGATTCCACGTAAGTAGTTAATTCTCTTACCGAAAAATCTAAAAAATATACAATCACAGTTTACTTTTATAGTCATTTTATGTTCAAATTTGGACGAAATTACATATTAAAAAACCTAGTTATTTTGTTGTGATTATATAATATTATTCGTGGGTACCTACTTGAAACTTCTAAAGTGTACTATTATATATATATGATAGTATCAGGGTTTGTTGTTGATGTTGATGTATAACGTGTTATAAGTACCTAATGGATATTGTGATAATGTGATATGATTAATTTGGAATTTATTATAGGTCAATTTTTTTTTTAATACCATAGATATGTATATAATTTGTATTAAACCTAGACTGACATACCGTCTTCGCTCAGAATCGTTTTTCTTATACAATGATATTGTATCATTGAATTCAAATTTAATAGCATCCATTATACAGTGACCCACTTGTAACCTACTGTACAGCAGAGCGACATCCACTTACCCACCTTTTTTTTTATTTAAATTACTTAAAATTTTATTTTCGAGTTTTTTATTTCTAATCCTTTTTTCAAAAATAATACAAAAATTTAGATGCATATATTTAAGCATATTTTGAAAATTTTTACTGCATATTTCGATGATTATTAGTGCAAAAAGTCCCGAACCTTAGTTATAAATAAAATATGCAAAATACTAAACTTCTAAAGGATATAAGTTATACTTTGAAACTATCTAAATCCAACCGATAAATTCTGATTGTACCATTGTTCTTCAATGGTTGAAAAAAGTACAATGGTTTCAGGAAAAAAATAGCTAAACAGGATTTATGCCTAATAAAAATCAAAATTCGATCAACTGTTAATTGATTTTAGATTCTGAGTGAAACGATGAATGTATTGATTTTACAATGATGTGTGTTTTTTTATTTTTTTATTTTTTTATTTTTTTATTTTTTTATTTTTTTATTTTTTTATTTTTTTTTGTATCTGTGTACACGATAAGTAGTCGAAATAATGCTTCGATTTTCGACTTCAGTATCTTGTTCGATTGGAAAGTGAATATCGTTGGTGCATTGGGGAGGTCAAAATTTAAATTTCCCAGTAGTTTTCACAAGCGCCGGGAAAAACAACATAAAAATTAAGGAAAAACGGGAATTTTTACGCAAAATCGATTTTCCAAAAAATCAATTTTGGTTATTGGTGTAACTCTAAAACAAATGAACGTATATACATGAAATTTTCACTGGTTGTTTATATTTGCATTTTCTATACACGATAACATTTTCAAAATATTTTGATTTATTTTGACTTGTTTAGGGACATTTTCATTTTTCGTTTTTTTTTAGTTTTTTTTCTAGAAATATCAATAAAATTTTATTTGTTGGTTGCGAAAGCTTGAAAATTTCATAGAAGGCTCCTAATATATTGTTTCAAAGGCAGATGAAAAATATTAAAAATCCTTAGTCACAATTTTTTTTTATAAGCATTTAAAGTTCAAAAATTGACAAAATATGGAAAAATCACGAAAATTAGCAAATTATTTTGAGTTAATAATTCGTAAAAATTTTTCTTTTTAAATCTAAGATTTGAAAATCTAATACAAGATTATTCATAAGATTTTCTACCTTTATCAATAAAAAAATTTCTACCGGAAAGTCAAATTAAATTTTTATGAGCGTTTGAAATTCAAATTTTTACAACATTGGATATTCACTCGATTTCTCATGTGGCAATTTCCTTTTTTTGTTGTAATTAAAAAACGAATTACTGTAGATACATGAAAATTTCACTGAATGTTTATATTAGCATTTCCTATACACCCTACAATTTTGAAAATATTTTGACACTTTTTGAGCCGTTTACGGACATTTTCAGTTTTCAATTTTTTTAGTTTTTTTTTTCTATAAATATCAATTAAGTTTTATCTGTTATGCCAAAAAGTGTAAAAATTTAATACAAGGCTCCTGATATATTGTTACAATATCAGTTGAAAAATATATAAAATACATAGGCACAATTTTTTTTTATAAGCATTTTAACATCGAATTTTGATAGAATTTTTCAAAATCTCGAAAATTATTAATCATCGTAATTAATAAATTATAAAATGTTCAGTTTTTATAGCTAAGGATTGAAAATTTAAAACAAGATTCCACGTAAGTAGTTAATTCTCTTACCGAAAAATCTAAAAAATATACAATCACAGTTTATTTTTATAGTCATTTTATGTTCAAATTTGGACGAAATTACATATTAAAAAACCTAGTTATTTTGTTGTGATTATATAATATTATTCGTGGGTACCTACTTGAAACTTCTAAAGTGTACTATTATATATATATGATAGTATCAGGGTTTGTTATTGATGTTAATGTATAACGTGTTATAAGTACCTAATGAATATTGTGATAATGTGATATGATTAATTTGGAATTTATTATAGGTCAATTTTTTTTTTAATACCATAGATATAGATACCATAATTTGTATTAAACCTAGACTGACATACCGTCTTCGCTCAGAATCGTTTTTCTTATACAATGATATTGTATCATTGAATTCAAATTTAATAGCATCCATTATACAGTGACCCACTTGTAACCTACTGTACAGCAGAGCGACATCCACTTACCCACCTTTTTAATTTTTAAATATTTGTTTCATGTTTGTAGTGTGTAACCTATTATTCCTATAGTTCATACTAGGTATACAGTAATATATTATTATATTTTGTTTATTGTTACTTACGCGATTCCGTTTTTTTCCCATTATGCCTGTACATAAAACCATTTAAGAACATGATTATATATATAACTAGCTGATCCCGTGCACTTCGTCGCCCGTTAAATGGATCAACTCAATACTACCTACTCAAACTTTGTTCAATTCATTAACGTGTATGGTGTTCAAAATTTATCTTATCTTTCCCGTTGCCCTGAATAAAAATTCTGAATCGCAGCAGTACATTATCAGGTAGGCAATCTACCTGCGGTAGATCGCGGACCCCGTGCTGTTTGTACGGAAGTGTATGATTTAACTCTAAAGTATCAAAGTTATACCAAGTTTATAAATTTGGTTGCTCGTAAAAAATCGCAACTCTTAAAAAAATTATGATTGTTGAACTCCTTTTGGGTGTAATTTTCTGCGGTA